GATTGTATGAACGATGTCCCGAAAATCCCTGGAGCGTAAAAATCGAAAAAATTAACATCCCTAGTGGCTACATATGCATCTATGTATCAAGTGTGTAACATTGCACATACATATGTACATACAATAATTTATTTACACTTATCAAAATTTATTTTTACTCATTCATGTATATGCAACCTTTTTCCTTATTTTCCTGTTTTCAACCCTCATCCGTAGACCGCAATTAAATTTGACTTTTCGCAATTTCCTCAAGCCATTACCTGACTGTCAATTTTAATTAGAATGAAAATAAAAGCACAAAAAATGGATAAGAAAATTTCCCTTAAATAGTTTTTTTTTGTGGGCTTTTGTTTTGTTACTTTTTGCGGACTTTTTTGGGGGATGGAGAGTGATGGCAATGCATTTATAGCGCGCTAAATTTATTAACTTCCTGCCACAGCTACATACATATGTACATATGTACTAGGGCAAAGCGTTGGTTGGGGTTTCTTACAGCATTTGGCCCATCAACACCTTTTCGTCTGTATATATTTAGCACGGTAAAGTAATTTTTCGCGTGTTACCAGTTGTTGCTAATGTTTTATTAGTTCGTTTTTTTTTCAATCTGCACTTACTTAGAATTTTGTGTGTTCTCTGATGAGTTCAAAAGCAAAATAGTTGGCTACGTTTTTTATTTTGTACCATGGCTACCACAAAAAATAATCAAATATTTATTTGAAAATGTATGCATGTACATATGTACGTGTTCATCAACGACAAACATATCACTCATAATGCCAGTTGATGAACGCACCGCACCTGCCCTAATGGCGTTTAAAAGTGTTTTTTTTTGCCGACGAAAATTGAAAACAAAATGAGGTGTCAAATTAAAGGGCTTGGGCTGTAGATGTGCAATAAGATTTTCGTTTCTCGAATAGAGTTGCCAGCTGTTGAGAAATTAAGCTCAAATTATTTAAAAAAGGTAAATCAATTGTTACAATATGGGTAGCAACCGGAATGGTTTTGAAAGGGCTTTATATCTTAACTACGTGTTGAAGGATTGCCATTTATAACAATGTCAGACGAAAAAATATTCAAGGAAATTTAAGTCCGAAAAAAAAAATTTTAAGATGATTGCCTGTTTTGAAAGTCGTATTTAGTTTAATTATACATAAGTTACATGCAATTTTAAAATATGGGTATCAAACGAACGAGTGTTCAGAAATCTCTTAATTTAACATTTAATATTTTTTTAGGGCGCAAGAAGAGGGCTGCCACCTGTAGAAAAAATTCAATTCAAATCATTTAATAAGTTAAATGGATTTTCAAAAGATGGGCATCAATCGAAATGGGTTTAAAAATAGTTTATTTCTGAACTGTATTTAGGAGAGTTGCCATGTGATTAAAAAATCAAATTCAACTTAATTCATCAGTTAATTGGAATATGTATAAAAATGCCAGGATTTTAGTTTGCAAATATTTTTAAAGGGGTTGCCACCTGTTTGAAAAGCCGATTTTGTTTACTTATACACAATCTACATAAATGAAATATCGAAATGTTATGCCGAAATTCCACTAAGCATTGAAATGCCAAAAAAATGTATGCCATTTAAAAAAATGCCATGTGGAAAAGAACTTAATGGCCATTTTTTTTAATGCCTGGTGGAAATCCAGCATTAGTGTCAACCGAAAAAGTTTTAAGAAAACTTTAGGCTGATAATATTTTTAATTAGGGTTGCCATATATTTTTTTGAAGGTCATCACATCTACACCGCTATTTTGAATTTCCAAAATGAGAAGTCACATTAAAAAACTGGAATTCTACGTTGATGTGCAATAATGCTTTAGTTTTTGAAGTAATAACCTTTTTAGCGGTACAGGGAGATTTGATAAAATGAAAACCGACACCACGCCAAGACCTCTCATCACTCAGAAATGGTTTAGATGAATCATTAGGAATATTTTTGAGGTTCTTGAATTGGGTTTAACCTGTTTCAAAGGTTAAATTCAATTTTGGCGTTTTAACGCCATGCGCGTTCACTAGTTTTATTATATTCCGCTTTACTCAATATGTATACATATTCTGGTTTAATATTTCATTAAATTTTTTTACCCTCAATTACGTTCATTTCCTTTCTATTAAAAACAACAACAGTTCCTTCTTCATTCCCTCCGTCAAGCCGAAAAACTACTACCAATTTAAGTACTAAAACACCGTACTCCACTCCCTACACTTGCGGCAACCCAGATTTCGCCGACTACCAGTTCCACGAACAGCGTATCTCACAGAAACAAGCTTAAAATGGGTGATGCAGCAATAATTTTTAGTTGTTTCACTGGCGAGTGCAAGTAGAAAATGTAAAGTCACAAAAGTGAACCAAGAAAAAAAACACAAAAAAATTATAAAAACAAAAGCGAAAAATCAGTTAAGCTAACAGTCAAAAAGTAGCAGTCAACTTTGAAACCCATCAAGCCAGCAGAGCCAGTTACGTCAAAATGGCCCTTACCCCACCATCCTCGCTCCACTCCAAACAAAACTACTGCCATTGTGGGTGTCAAAATTGTTGCAACATCAGCAAAGCACTATGGCGTTGATTGTGACGCTTGATTTGTTGAAAATAGAGTTTCAAAATTTTTTTTTTATGCGTACCTTTCATTTTTGGTGTTGCTACTACCTTTCTACAGCATGTCAGTTACATTCAACGCATTTTACTTGAAATAACAACGCGCGTATTGTTGTTATTGTAGCAGCGACAATGACTTGACAGAAAAGTGGTTCAACGCTAGTAAAGTTGAAGGTGTAGATACTACAGAGTAATGTAATATGTGGCAACAAGCGGCTAGCTTGCGACCACTGTACAAACGGGCAGTCAAACGTTGACTTTTTGGTTAACTATACAGAGGTGTTCATTAAAACCTTGTAATTACAATAAGAAATTCTTGTTTGTGTGGCATGCCACTTTGTAAGCATTTTTGAAATGAAAAAAGTGTGTAATTATAATTATAAAAGGTGGGCGGAGAGTTGGTTAAGGATGAGAAGGCTATAAATGTGGGTTTTTGGTTTGGTTTAACATAGTAATTGGATAAGGAGCAGGGCAACAATAATTGTTCCCCAAAAAAAATTTTAGCTTTAAATATGGGCTCAGATTTACTAATTGTGCTACGGCTAGCATTAAGTGTTATTAAAAGCGCTGAAATTTATGATTGTTTTATGACAGAAGGCACTATTGGAATAGTTGTGGTGCTAATTGATAGTTGATATTAAATTTTCATTAAATTTAAAAAATAAATTGCTGGGAACTAAAGTCTGTTGACGTACAAAAGAAGGTCAAATAAATTTTCGTAGGTACTTTGTTGAAGTTTGGCAATTTCAATTCGACGCAAAGTATGGAAGGGTGTTAAAGAGAACAAAAATAACGCTTAAATATTGCGACGAAAAATTTCGATAAAATAATCGATACAAAATCAGATAATTGTATCGATAAAGACACTGATAAAAAGTATGACACAAGTTGGAAGGGCGATTAAATAAATAAAATAAAGATGAAATATTTCGATATGCCGATAAAAAAATCGATAAAAATGTAGATAAATGTATCGATAAACACAATGCAAAATTTATCGATTAACACATTAATAATTAAATAAACTTGTCTTTTAACGACAAATGTTGTGGCTCAAAAAATCTCAAAAATCGATAAACAATAGGCTAACAATAAATATATCGATAACAATATCCAGTAGTATAACCACCACCGATGTTTCCAATAATAGCGATATCGAAAATTAATTCCACAACTGATTTGTTAACGGCTACTGCGGGTCAAATAAGGGATTTTCTTTCTTAAAATTTGGTGTGCCTCGAACGAAACTTAAAAAAGAAATATATAATAAAAAAATCTTTATAGAAATTTATTTTGGCACAAAAATCATATTACAATTTCAGTAGCTTAGTTGATTAGCATATCGATAAAAATACAGATACATTTATCGGTAAAAAATGTGCATCTATATCAACAGAATGTTTAAATATATTACAATATTAATCAGTGATAGTATCAGTAATTATTTGGTAAGGTGTGTGTGGGAATCAGATCGATATCTTAAACAATGAATATGCACATGTCTATATCGAAAATATGTTATGTGAGTCTCGAAAAGATTTCAAAATTTAAAAAATGCAATGGCGCAGATATTTATACTGATCACAATAGTCATATACTGAAATACCGACATTCATATTGAAAATAAATTTAAAAACTACATATGTACATATGTATATGTATCGATAAATACATCGTTTGGGTTATTGATAATTCTAAATACATACATCGTAAATTAACTCGGTTAATGCTTTAATAATGTTGTAAGCAATGGATTAGATTATTAATCAATTTTTATATTGATACGTAGATAAGAAAGTAGGCAAAATAAAAATGCACATTAGGGCGGGTCAATTTACATTGGAAATTTTTTCGACTAATTCTAAGAAAATTTGTCGAAGAAACCATAGGTCTAAACTCAATGTGGAGTTTGCGAAAATAGGTTTCTTAGCATTTTGCTGTAGTCTCGAAAAGAAGTGCTCAAATTTTGTATAAAAACATGCTACAAGGGTTTTTGGTAAGACGAAACCGTTTCTGCACTTATCTTTTTCCTAAAGCTTCTGGCAGAGGGCGCAGCGGTGAAAATTTTCACATTTTCTACGAAACCTATTTTTGAAATTTGGCGAACTCCATATTGATTTTAGACCCATGGTTTGTTCGGAAAATTCGCTTAGAATTACATCTAGAATCCTCCTCTGCTATACGGGCATAGTCGAATTGACCCGCCCTAATGTACATATATATGTATGTACGTAGTACATACTTGCGAGACAGTTTTTGTTTGTTATTATTTTTCATGCCACTAAATTGTATGCCATTCTTTCAACTATCATCAGCGCATCCTAATTTAAGCAACACTGCAGCAGAACTATAAAAAACAAATACTACCTCTAAAAAATACTCACACTCATGCGGAAGCAAATCTAATAAACCTGTCAGGTTGCAGAAGACAAAACCTTGCCGCCAGCAATAAAAGAGAACAACAAAAGCAAAACCCAAACACCGAAAAACCGAAGCACACTCATAAAGCAGCGGCTATCAACACCGGCCGCAGTAGTGCATTGCCCTTCACTGGTCACAAGGTATGACAAGACATAAATTATCTCTAGACAATACAAATTTCCTATGTTTTATTGCTATTTTATTTTTTAATTAACATTTCTTTTGGACAAAATGCAGTTTGTTAGACGAATGTTTGACGTACGTAAACAACAAATGTGAAGGGAATGCCCAGGAAGCTACATATAGCTGCAGAAGAGACTAATAACTATGCAATAAAAATTCGTATAAACGTAAGTTGCTAATGGTTATTTTTTATTTTATTTTTTTTTGCTTTTAATGAAAAAGTAGGAATATTAAAAACGTTAGACAATAGAAAAACAAACAATACTCAGTCACAAAAAAAAGAAGAGACGAAGCGAAAAACTGTAAATTTTAAGTGCCTGAAATGTTTGGCTACGCTACGCTACGACCACTTAGAAGAAAAAAGCATTAACATTACATAAAAAATAACAGAATAAAAAGAATTCTTGTTTGAAAAATTTCACGCTCCGCATGACACGTAGAATGCCTTTTTTTATTTACCTGCCAAGGAATGAGAGGCAGCGTGACCGGCTGAGTGACCGACCATTACTCAGTTACACACATGCGGACTGATAACATCACACGTGTTTATGTATAATGCATGTGTGTGCGCGCTTATATGTCACGGCAGCTATTTGACAATCAACTGACATTTGACAAAACTGTCAATGCGATGGTCAAGTCAACACTGTCAATGAGTGAATGTTTGAGCGGTGGTGGAAGATAAGTTGAGTACCGTAAAAATAATATATATACATAACTAAATAATTGAAGAGAGGGAGAAAAAAAGTAACTAAGGAGGACAGAAATAGGATGGAAATTGTTGGTATGATAACGCCAAACAAGTCACATAGGCATTGCTTCAATAGCTGACAGAGAGCTACCTCCACTGAGTACTGGCAGTGACCAAAGTAAAGGTGTGCGTGAATACTTTTTTCCGCCGTGTGCCGCTCTATCTACTATCCATCGGGTGTTAGCTAGTGAACAAGCTAATAATTTCACAGTAGCAGCAGCGGTTGCATGAACTGGCCGAATTAATTATAGACTAGCATAAGGGGTTTGCTAACAAATGAAAAAAACTCAAAACAAATTGTAGGAGTAAATTAAAAAAAAAAAACCAAAAAACGGACTGTATAGCATATTTGTGTGTACATTTGTATTATAGGCATAGTTAATTTTTGTTTCAAAGCATTTTATTACAACTAATTTTATGTAGTCATCGGTATTAAATAAATACAAATAAGGGGCAAGAAAAACACCCCTGAAAAAGTCCATATGTAGAAATAAGTAGCACAAATTCTCTACGAGTGACTGGCCTTCAGTACAAGTCAAATAAAAATCAGCCAAGCGTTAAGAACTTGCGTGTAATAGACTAGAAAAATACTGGAAAATTTATGACTCGAAGAAATTGTAAGTAAAGCTGGAAGAGTGCGGGTCTACCTCTTCGGAGTAGGGAAAAACGAACTAAATACAAAACAAATAAAAGCGCGTGCACACCTATTTATTCAATTTTTGTCACCGATACATATCACATGTCACAATCGCACACTTATAAATGTTGAAATGAACGACTACTCTTGACTGGTGGCTAGGTGGCTACTCAAATAGTAAACGTGAAAATGGTCGTCGCTGACGAATTTGATTAAACGTGACCCTTTCTTTTGTATGAGGCAATAAATAGTTCGCATGTACTCATGCACACGCGCTGGATAGATAAGCAAGTTACCAAAAATAGGCACCTAAAAAATACTAAAAAAATTACCACCACAAAAATCAGTAAATGAGCAAAAAGAAAAGAGGTATGTAAATAATCATGGCGTGTGATTTTTAGTTAGCCTTGTCTGGTTGCTTGTTAGGGTAAACACTTTTCCGTGGTTGCATAGGAAATAGTTATCAACACTATATCCAATTTGGTCTAGATACACATGCACTACTCCCTACCAAGTTCTTCGCGCGTACAAATATAAACTCTCGGCTGCCTGGAGTTGAGTGATGACATGCCTAATTTCTTTACCACTTAACCACAATAATAATGCGATGTAATTGTTTGCGTATTTAATGCCTGTTTTGCTTTGTTTAATAATTACTCTGCTTGCCCAGTCAACATTTGATATTTACACGTTTATATGGTTAGGCAATGCAATTAAGTTTTGTTGAATTTTTAGAAGAATAAGGAGTGAAAGTAAGCTTGTAATTGTTGTATGAAAGGAAATGTGTTGGAGTTGGTGTTTGTTTCTGTTAATAATTGGATGTGATGGATGGCAATTTATGTACATATATTTTCTCATAGAAAATTAAAAAAATAAATAAATTAAAATAAAAGTTGAACATAGATAAAAAAAAGACACAACACAAACAAAAAATAAAGTGAAATAAAAAAAATGTTTGTTATCTATCGGAACTTTTATTGTTATTGATATTTTTCCTGGTTATCGATATTTGATCGTTTCCTATATGAAAATTACGAATTAAAATACAGCGGCTCCGCTGGCTTGGTCATGCCGTTCGAATGGACACCTACGCTCCAGCTTTGAAAGTATTCAACTCGGAACCCGCTGGTGGTAGCAGAGGAAGAGGGAGGCCCCCACTGCGATGGAAAGATCAGGTGGAGAAGGACTTGGCTTCACTTGGCGTTTCCAATTGGCGTCAGTTGGCACAGAGGAGAAACGACTGGCGTGCTTTGCTGAACTCGGCCAAAATCGCTTAGGCGGTTACAGCGCCAAAAAAGAAGAAGAAGATATGAAAATTACTGTTTTCAGTATTAAAATTGTAATCGATATTTTACACAAATAATTCTCTACTTTTACCAGATTCACAGTAGATTATAAAATTTGCAACATAGTTGTAGATATCTGAAGATAACAGCATTGCTATCATCTTTATTGTTGTCTGCGCAATCGTTACACGTAGTTGTCATCGTAAATATTTGTTATCGATTATCGCTTAAATAATTTATATCATAATCATTTAGCTAAGTTAGGTTAGAGCGGCTGCCACCGCGCAGAGCACGGAGCACACGTAGGCTGGAAAAGTCCGTTGTGATACTACTGGCCGAAGCCATTTGTTTATTTCCCTCCCTAACGCAGTAGTCGAGAACGTTTGCCGAGATCAGGGCCCAATTGCACCAATGACTTATCATTTGTCACTTTACAAATTTTAGATAAGCCTTTTTATTGAAAAGTAAAGTTGATAAGTGTTGCACTTTTTACTTATCATAAAAAACTTATCAATTTAAAAAAAAATTAATAACTGGCATGTTTTTTGGATAAGTCGATTTGATAACCATTGCACAGCCAATTTCTTTTGCTTTTCAAATAGAGAACTTTTCCAATAATGTGCTTAGCTAAAATGATTACCGTTTCTCAATGGAAAACGAAAGCTTAGCAAGCCCATGTGCGATTTGATAAACATTTTCAATTTATCTTTTTTTTCTTACTATGTCGCGCGCACAAAGCACAGCCAATATATTAGCTGTCTTAAAAATTATTAAGGAAAAAAGCAAGTCCGTATTGACTATGTATGTTTACATAAATAATTAAATTTTTCTAAATTAAGGATTATTTATTTGGATCTTTCCAAAATAACTCAGTAACAAAAACATAAAAACCACATTGCATTAATTAAATGATTTCCGTACCGGTTAACAAATCATAGTTCCATCAATGCTCCCTGCGTCTTAAGGAAATTCACCAATGTTGAAAAATTTTGTGGCAATATTTTTCGTAAATTCCCGCCAACAAATAGTTTCATCCATCAATTTGTTTATCAGGGCATTTGCCACTCGATGGATTATTGTACATACCGCTAATTTGTGAACCCCATGCATTTGACCAATTCCATGATGTTGGCTACCATTACCTAATTAGTGCAGAGTCAATAATAATTGCTGTAGCGGACTTAAGCCATTATTACACCCACTGTTATATTGTAGGTCCGCTCCAATTTTTAATAAAATTTCTTCAATTTGGCTACGAGATAGCCGAAATTTTTCTACTACATCAAAATCTATACTGTAGCTGATTTTTTCTTTTATGACACGCCTTTTATTATTTGCAGATTTTCCTCCTCTAATAAATTTAATAGTTCGAATCGAAGCATTTTTTGTGTCAATATTTTATCGAATCACGTGTTAGAGCTTAAGTTTTAGATTGTTAAGGTATAGTTGTATTATCCTTTTACAATAAATAAATAAATAAATTCATTCAGACTGAATAAATGTAACTTATCACTTGTATGATAGGTAAAATTACTTTTAGCAAAATAATGCTAAAGTTAGCAAAATGAAAGATGATAAGTGATATATACAAATTTTTGGTGCAACGAAATGCTAATAAATTTTGATAATTTGCATAACTTATCACTTATCCGCTAAACCTTTTCGCCAAGCATTTCAAATTTTGGTGCAACGCTTATCTATGATTTTGAGTGATATTTTACTTATCAACACTCATTTGAGTGACTTTTCCTTATCATGTTGGTAAAACACAAAACTTTGCGTAAGTTCGATAATCTGCTAAAATGCTAATGATAATTCGTTGGTGCAATAGGGCCCAGGTCGGCTAAATAATCTAAAAAGTGCTTCTTGAAGAATAGAATAGATAATGTTCGATGCTCTCCACCTCCTACTCGTCTCTGGAACTGCGACAAAAATCGTCGGTTGGGTATCCTAACCTTTTTCCGTGTGTGCCCATCAGGCAGTGTGAGGTGATTATCCCGACTACTATTCTGAGAAAAGAGCGATGGAGGCGAGAGAGAGCTATGGATCGCTTTACATATATCCTCGGCCAAATTTGCCTGGCAGTATGGCAGTTGGTTTCTACAGCCCACCTGGTATTTAGACCAGACCTTTACTGTGTGTTTTCAGGAGGTTAGAAGTATGCCTGTATTTTGAGCGGAATTGACTTCGGATATTTCCGTCCCCTCCTTGCCAGCTCATCGGATATGCAGTTGTTAGGAATGTCCCTGTGTCCAGGGACTCATACGTTGAACAGTCAAGAATCATTTTGATGTCAGCAGGTTGAGAGTCTTCCTGCATTCTATGTCTAAGTAGGACGTTGTTCAGTTAGAATTAAGAGATTTGATACCAGCCTGGCTGTCAGAATAAATAGCGATAGCCCGTCCTGGAGCGACGTTCCAAAGGTTTGGTGCAGTGCTCCCGTGGCGATCACGGCAGTAGTCCCTGT